GCGCACGGCTGCACGCATGGCTGCACGCATGGCTGCACGCATGGCTGCACGCATGGCTGCTTGCATGCCGTGGCTGCATGCATGGCTGCTTGCATGCTGTGGCTGCATGCATGGCTGCATGGCAGCAGGCATGCGCGCGTTTGCGTTGACATGCAGTTGGGAGTCGCCATCGAACAGCGGGCATGGTGGGCCGGACACGCCCCGCGCGCATGCCGCCCTCTCTGCCTCCCCCTCTTCAGCCGGGGAAGGGTAGGCGCCGCTGCCGGGGCCCAGCAATGGCTGCCATGCAGGTGCGAGCGTGAACCGCAAGCGGTTACACCTGCTGCATCGCATGCGCAGGCGGGGCAAACCGCCGGGCTCCGCCTCTTCACACGAGCACTGCACCCGCGGCCCCACCTGGGGCGCTCGCATCCCCACCATCCGCTGCTTACATTTGATTATCATCTTGCCGCGCGGCGTGTCCTGCGCGGGGGGCGAGCGGGCGCGGGCGTTGGCGCGGACGTTGACGCGCGCGGCGCTGCCAAATGCATGCGGCTCGCGGGTCGGGCCTCGATGCGACGCCCTGAGCCCCGCGAGCGATCACAGACCCACGTCTACTGGTCCAGGTCAGCGCACCCCAATCAGCTCCTCGGGCGGCACGGCATGCCGCAGCGGCGCACTGCCTGCGCGCCGAGCCCTGTCGCCTGTGGTTGCGGACCGGCGTGCGCCGGCCCTCCCCCAACCCCGAGGCACGCGGTCGCACGAGTGGCTGGGTCCCTGAATGACTGACGAAGCGCCAGCCGCCCGCTCTCGTCCCTACCGCCCCAGTCCCAGCCTGTCGGGCTCGGACCTCCCCTCTGCTCTCAAATCCTCGCCCTGTGCCAGGCCCCCGTTTTGACAACGCCCCAGGTATGTGATTTCCGTCGACATAACTGGGCCCGCCCACTCACAAACACCGACCCTCATACGTAATCAGCCCGGCCCCGCACCTCGAAAGTGAATTCGGCCGCCACAATGAGCGGGAAGGTCGCCGCACGCTTAGCCCAGCCCGGCAGGCCCCCGACGCCTGGCAGCGGGGCGTTGAGGATCCGCGGCTGCAGGTTGTGGCGGACGCGCGCCAGGGCCTTGCTGCCGTGGACTGCCACATCCAGGACCTGCCAGGGGGCCGCAGGTGGGGGCGGGAGCTGGTGTGTCGTGGAACCCCCTGTCCCCCCTTCCCAGCATCTAGATCAACAGCTTGCACCCTTGCTTCACTCCTAACACACACGCACGCACACGCGCGCACACACGCACGCACGCACACGCACACGCCTCTTCATCAACCCCACCCAACCCCTCGTAGAGGCCGCCACCTCCCCAAACCCCATAACCCCCCATACACCCCCACCTGCACGCGGTCGTCAAATGCGGCCTGCCACGCCCTGAACAGCTGGTACAGCTTCTCACGCCCCTGGACCTGGAACAGGGCTGCAGTGCACGCGACAGGGCGGCAGAGATCGGCAGAGATCGTTGAGCGGTTGGACGAGAGAAGCGGGTGCTGTGAAGCTGTGTGCTGCGCGGCGAAGCGCTGAGGCAGTTGGTCGTGGCGGGGTCGGCCGTGCGGGCCGCGCAGTGGGGTGCCAGGCGCGAACTGATTGAGGCCTGCGAAGGGCGCGAACTGTTTCGATGCCTGCCACTCACCTGTGCGCTGTTGACAGTCCCCGCGGCCCCTTTTCGACGCCCGCTCTCCCCTGCACACACACACACGCACACATGCTCACATACACACGTAGGCACACGCACACGCACATGCACACGCACATGCACACGCACATGCACACGCACATGCAAACGCATATGCACACACACACGGACACAGGTACGCTCGTGCACTGAGACAGCCTGGCCCCAAGGCCCCCCACGCGGCCCAGGCCCCCCCTTAATCCTCCAGCAGCCACGCCCCTTGTCTGCCCGTCCGCCACTCCCAGCCGCTGCGCACGAGCAGGGTGCACGCTCGCCGCAGCGCACGCAGGCTACACGCTCGAACGCGCGCACCACTCTTGAGCGTCGCGTTTTCCGAAAAGTGCGAGTCCAAAGCGGCGCGCAGCCTGTCCTTGGGGGGGCGGCACAGGGCCTCGAGAATTTCCTTTGGGGGATGGCCAGGAATGGAGGCGTTAGAGCGAGGGATCAACGGAATCGATTATCGGGGATTAATGGGGCCCGGAAACGAGGGAATGACGAGGGTTGATGGTTGTCAGGGTCTCCCTCCAGAAGGGACCAGGGCAGGATAAGGGGGGTGCGGGCGAGGGGATGCCTTGGGAGGGGTGGGAGCGTGCTCAGAGGGTCAGCGGCCGTGCTGTGCGTGCGCAGGGCTGCATGGTGGAGGCATCTCGCGGCTGGTGGGGGGGGGCGAGGCTAAGCTGCGCGCACACTGCAACGCCCGCGGTGGGGTCAACGCCCCCAATCGGCGGCGGGGTTGGGCGTTGTGATGTCAGTTGCGGACGGCCCGCCAGCTGCGCCGCACCTTGATGACCTCGGGCTGGGTCACGTCTCCCCTGGGGACCGCAGCAGCCATGGTAGCGGCACCTGGAGCCTCACGCCGGGGCCTGCGGTCCGCTGTCGCAGGTCGAAATGGCGGCGATCGGCGTTGCAGGCTCGAGCTGTGCTGTGTTTGGCCGTGCCGCAACTTGAGTGGCACCCAAAATTGTTGCTTCTACACAAATTTGGATGCATGAATCACCTGTAAGATCGTCATCGAGCGCTTTCTGCGCAGAATTTCCTGCCGGTCGTGACGCTGCTTCGTATCACCGCTAGCTGACGAGGCTACCATGTGGGATGTGTTGCTACCGTAACCAACCAATACACCCTCTTCTTCTTGCAAGAAACTTCTGTATCCTGCCACTGATGCTCAATTGGTATGGACTGCGCCGCCCGCTTCCATGAACAGGCGGTTGACAGTTGAAGTGCCTCTAGTGGAAGGGGGGCGAAGGCGGCGGCAAAGCTGCGGCCATGCATGGCCGCTTTTGCATGTGTGGTGAGTGAACGAGTCTCGCCCTGCAGCAGCTGGCAATTTCATGCACGGTGCTGCGGGAAGTGATGGCAGGCACAGCCGGCAACAATCACTAGTGCTTGCGCTCCAGCGTGCCGCTCTCCGGAGGTTTTCATAAGCTCAAGCTTTGTTGCCCTGTGGTGGAGCGGTCAGCAGTGTTCCTGCACTTCGTGCTTTCGCGTCGATTTGTCAAACCGCCCACAACCGGCTGAGTGCCTGCTCGACCACGGTGCGACGCGAGGGGCATTGGCGGCAAGGGCGCCGCTCGTGGGAAGAAGGCTCAAGGCCACCGAGCCCTCGATGACTTTCTTCATCAGAGCTTGAGAATGTCGTGATTACTGCGATCGATGGGAAGGCACCTCTGCATGCGCGCATGGGCGGCTGCCATGCAGCCTACGGCCCCATGTGATTCGGACGAGTGCACAGAAAAGACGGGGGTCAAAAAGTTGTTGATAGTGGGGCAATGCGTGGGCGCATGCGAGGCGGGGGGGGGGGGATGGCGACTACGCCCCCATGTGCTGCAAAAAGTGCGCCATGCCGAAAGCCACAACGCACACCACCGGTAGGCTTGCGTGCCAGACTACGATTCCACACTGCAATCAGTTTGAATGATCATATGTTGGATATGGGATAGTGAGGGGGCTTGGGGTGGCAGCAGCAGAGCGCGGCTGGAATGAGAGGGTTGGGTCAGGGTGTGCAGCAGTTACGCGGCCCGTCAAGCGGATGGTCCAAGCCCAGGCCCAGGAGACGGAGGACGTGCAATTTCTTTGTTCGCCATGGAATGCTGACCGATAATGCGGCTTCGGCTGGGCACGCAGGCCTCGCAGCGCAGTGCGTGATTGCGACGCCTTGGCCAGCTCGGGTGATGCATGGGGGTTTACGATGAGATTAATGAAAGCTCTGCTCAAATGGATCCTCCTAGGCAGCGCCTGCTCCCTGGCCAGTGGCAGCAGCAACGCCGCCGCGCCCCTGCCCAGCTGCGAATTCGCAACGCGCCCCGATGGCACATGGCACCTGCTGCAGCGTGACTGCGCCCCCTCAAGTGTGCCACTGCGCCCTGATGGGCTCAATCAAGCTGATCTCGCTCGCGTGGTCGTCACGGGCACGGCTGCAGCGGCGCCGATTGGCGCTGCCCAGGGCACCACTGTCTGGCGCGAGGACGCAGGGGCTGCTGATGGTGCCGGCGGCCAGAGCCTCATACTGTTCTCTGACACGAGTGAGAGCGCTCCCTCCGCCCATCCCGCCCTGTGTGCGGGGTCTCGCTCTCGTGCGTGTGCGCGCTCTCCAACAAGACGAAACCGCTGGACTCGTGCTGCCATGCCCTCTTGAACTGATCCCCCGTTGCGCACCCCCACTCCGCTCTCCTCCCTGGCTCGCTCATTTCTTTCAATGTCCAGGCTTCCCCGCCCGCCTCGACCTGCGTGATCTCACATGTATCGGCTGCCTAGACCCAACTGCGCGCTCGCTGCAGCGCCTGCTGCTCCCTCCCGCCCTCCTCGCGCGCCCGCCCGGCGGCGCGCCGCCGCCGGCGACGGGGCTCAGCAACGTGCTGTCCGCGAGCGGCGGGGTGGAGGCGGGGGTTACAGCGGCGCTGTTTGATCGCATGATGGCGCTGCCCCTGGCGCAAGACCTGCTGGCGGCGTGGTCCCTGGCGATATACACGGTAAGTCGCCACTCGCGTTGCGCGGGCACGCGCCACCCTGCACCGGACGCTGCGGGCGACCCACTCTGCGTTGCTGACGAGGCGTACCAGAATGCGCGGGGGCTCAGCCAGCGCGCGGGCCGCAGGCGTTGCGTCGCAGGGCAGGGGGACAGGGCGTGCGTGCTGCGCGCGGGCGGGTCCGGCGCGTGCGCCGCGTGCCAAGGACGGGAGGGCGCGCGGGGTGCCGCGCGGTGCATGGAGCTAGATGCGCCGCCCGACCTGGGGAGGGGGGAGGGTGGGGCACTCGCAGGTGCCTCAGTCGGCGCGGCCCCTGCGCTGCCAGGGGTCGCGCTGTTGAGCAGCGTGCGGGGCCCTGCAGACGCTGCGCAGCTATCTGCGTGAGAAGGGCCGCCCCTGCATGCCGCCCCCCACTGCCGGCGCCAAGCCGCTCCTTGCCTTCCCACACCTGCCTCCTGTATACTCAATCAATCACACATACACACACAAGCACACACACATGTACACACACGGACAAACACACACACACATCAGACGCAACGTTCCCCTGCATCCCCCCCCAAATCCCCCCTTTGATCACCCCCCCCCAAAAAAATCGCCGCAGGACCGCACATCATACCTCCTAATACCCCGCGCCGAGCTCGACACCATGACGGTTGCGGCCTCAGGCGCCTTTGCGCTGCCGCAGCCCCTGGCGCCTCCGGCCCCGCCGCCCGCCGGCGCCGCTGGCGCCGCTACGCGGCAGCCGCTGCTGTTCGGCCCCAACTTTGTTGTCGGCGTCACCAACGACACTTTCCACGCGACGCTGGCGCGCCTGGGGTCGGTCGCGACGGCCGCGCCGCTGCTGCTGGTGCTGAGTGGTAACGTGACCGTCGCGCCGCACCCGGGCCTGCCGCGCGGGGGGTTCAACGTTACACGGCCGGTGGTGATCATGGGTCGGGACGGGGTGACCACGGGCCTGGACTTCGGCGGCAAGGTGGGTGGGTGCGTTGTGCATGTGAGCACAAGAGAGAGAGTGTGTGTGTGTGTGAGTGTGTGTGCGCGAGCGTGCGTGCGTGTGTGCACGCAGGAGCACACTCACACTCACAGGAACACACACCCCTGTAAGCTAGTGTGTACGTGGGCATGTGTGCAGCAGCGGCCACACAGGCCAGCGCCCGCGACGCGACAGCGGGTGCTGTTTCGCCACCTGGGCGGTGCGCTGGCGGCCGCGCTGTCGATGCGCTGACCCTGGTCTGCCGTGCGTCCCACCTAACCGCACAAGATCCCACAAGCATGCGTGTTGACATGGCACGCGCGCGCCCAAGCCCACACTCTCGTATGTGCAGATGTGCATGTGCACACACACACACACACACACACACACACACACTCACAACACAAAACACACACACACACTCTTTCTCTCTCTCTTTGACAGGTACTACACACCCATGCATGAACACACAATCACATCCGTTGTTCACACACACACACGCGCGCGCGCGCGCGTCCGCGCGCGCAGGTGAACGTCATCCGCCTGTCTGGTCTTGGGAACCTCACCCTCGACTCATTGGCCCTGGACAACCTGTTCCCCGGGGATGAGGAGTCCATGAGGGGCGTCAAGGTGATGACTACAGCAATGACATTCACGCAGCAGCATCTCGCCCCCTTGCGCCGCCCGTCCGCCTTCCACCGCCCGTCCGTCTGCCGCGGGCTGTTCTGCATCACAAATTGGACCCCAGAACAAGCGCCGGTGCTCGTCTGTACGCAAAATTCGATCCAACATCGTCACACCGTCCGCAGGGCATGTCATACTACACGCTTGCGATGTACCCCGTCATCTGGCCCCGCGAGGACCGGCGGCTGTTCATCGTCCGCTGCACCATGGGCGTGCCCACCCAGGCAGAGATTGAGGTGTGCGGCGCCGCCCCGAGGTTGAGGCGTCCGAGGTTGAGCCGCCCGAGGTTGCGCCTCTTGCCTCGGCACGGCAGGGGCGACGCAGCAGCAGCGTGCCGCGCATCCAGAGTGCCCAAAAGGGGGGGGCTGCGCGCGGG